TACGTGGAAAACTTCATGGTGTGGTAGAGCCCTCAAAATGACACACAATTCTGACTTTTTTACCTTTTTCTTAACATGTGTAAAATTACGCAAATTTCGATACCTCTTGCGATAGTGTAGCTCAACAAATTTTTTTGACGGGACACCCTAATGTACATATATGTCATATCGGGCGAGATCTTACAGAAAATATCACACCCCACGAAGCAAGCACAATATGATTAAATTTGTATAATCAGAACATGCGCTTTGGAACAATGAATTTTTTCAAAAACACAAATGTTATTTAAAGCCCCGTTGCTACAGTCAATACTACATACACATCCGCGTTGCACTGCAGTTCAATATACGAAAAATTCTAACACAAACTTAAACCAGAACCACAAACTTTACGTCGACAGATAGTAGACCAGGGTTACCTTTTGGTCATAAATTTATAATTTCTTTTCTAATTAGAGTATCTAGAATGCAGTCCGCCTGTTACAAATTTTGAAAGCAAAAACTGAAAATTGGAGTTTTGGCCACAGAAAGTGCTTATTTCAGCAAACGTGCAACGATACTATTTTTCCTAAATTGTCCATCTCAAAAGTTTAAACTACTGTTACATTTGCTAACTTTGCTTCCGAGATGATACTACTTTTCCTTTTCCACAACCATCTCTGGAGACCTTTATCAAGGATAGTTTGGTTGCCTGCTCTATGCTATGTGGATTGGCGAAGGCTCGAAAATATCGCATATTGCCACCACATGGCAGGTGGCAAGACGTTGTAGTCTTGTGAGTGGGCGCCTCTCAGTCACTAGGTTTACGACCATGGAATACATCCGTCTGGGTATCCGAGTGCTGCAGCTGCAGGATTTTTTGTGGCTCTGGATGTCGTCATATCAATGTTAATGCTGAAATATCTCACTTCCAAAACATCACTTCCCCCGCATTCCATTTCTTGATAGCGTTTGAAGGAGTTCGTCTAATCATCCTTTCGTGTTGTTTCCGGGATTCTTGTTATGTTACGGCACATTCAGTATCTTAGATCTGCAATCAAATTTTAAAACCATAAAATATTTAACACATTTACGTAGTTCACTTTATTTCCATTAGATACTGGTATAAATACAGATTATTAAACTGGTCTAAAATTTTACTTTCATAAAGTATGCATGTACTTAATTGCATTATGTGAATGAAAGGCTGCAATTATAAACCAATGCGCGCCGGAGTACGTCTAGGTGTGGCATCGCCAGGCGTTATAATTTCTTGTTTCGGCGTCATTTGCTCCTCGCGTTGTGCCGCCTGCATTTTGCGCTCCTCCATTTGCTCCTGCGCCAATAGCATTTGAGTTTCCATTTCTTTTAAGTGCTCAGCAGCCTGCTTCTTTTTCTCACGCCCACTGCGACCAGTCTCCTTAACAGAGAAAAACATAGGACCCAGCTCCGCCAGCCAATAACCATCGACAGCGGTAGCACATTGCATATACTCCTTAGCGGTCATTACAAGCTCATGATACACAACATAGTCGGGTGTTGTGCCAAGACCATACAACGCTGAGGTGGGATGCAGATGGCAAGGCATGCCCGTACGCAAGTTAACATACTCGCCGATGCCTTTGAGACGCGCTGCCTGATAAAAGTATGCCGAACAAATGCATTTCCGCACAATATCCCAATCAGTGCCACATGATTTTACATTAAGTTTTTGCTGTACCATGATGTCCTTGAGCTGTTGACGTACTTCGCGCACTTTGCGCATTGCCTTAACGTGTATGAAATGCTCGTTGCACCAACTGGAATTATAACTGCAAGAAGAGAAGGAAGAAACCAGTTAATTACAGAGTTGAAATCTCAAATTTAAATCACTTACTTATTTTGCTTCCATTGCAGGTACACATTTAGATAGGTGAGATGATCGGATTCCGGCACTTGAAACTTCTCACGCACTCCGTCTGCCTCCTCTTCGCGGCCCTTTGGCCGATAGAAAATGGATGGAACGGAAAGCATGGACACTGAAATTGTAGGTTGAAATCAATGCACTGTTCTAAAAAAAAAAATCGTTTTTACAAAAATTCAGTAATACCAACCAATTATAAGCACTTCCGCGCTGCACTCCATTTGACAGGAAACAATTAGCATTTGGCACTGCGGTGGATCAAGCGGAAATTCAGCCATCTGCCGTCCGAGCGGCGTTAGTGCGCCAGTGTGATCCAGCGCACCAAGTATCCACAGCTGATACAACGAGTTGAGTATATTATCCTGAGGTGGGGGATCCATAAAGTGAAATTGCAGCAAATCCACCACACCCAGCGACTTCAGCAACAACACTGTATTCGCTAGATTAGTACGCTGTATCTCAGGTACTGTCAACGCCAGTAAATCCTCCTTGTATTGTCGTTGTGTGTACAGACGAAAAGCCTGTCCGGGTCCTGTGCGCCCTGCTCGACCCGAACGCTGATTGGCGTTCGCCTGTGAAATAGGATAAATTTGCAATGCATCCATACCAATACGTGGATTGTAGACTTTCAGTTTACAATAACCCGAATCGATAACATATATGATGCCATCCACGGTCAGCGAAGTTTCGGCGATATTTGTAGCCACAACACATTTGCGTAAACCCTCCGGTGATTTTTGGAATATTTTCGCTTGCAAATCGGAGGGTAATTGTGAATAGATTGGCAGTATAGATAGCTCGGGCGCATTATCAATTTCGGCTAAGCGCTCGGCAAGCACTTCGCATGTTACCTCGATATCTTCCTGGCCCGGCATAAATAGTAACATATCCCCTTCGTTGGGTGTGAGGTGCACTTGTAGAGTCTGCTTAACCGCTGATTCAACATAGTCCTCACAGGTATTTTTACTGAACATTACATCGACGGGGAATGTACGCCCAGGAATTGTAAACGTTGGTACATTACCAAAGAATGTGGCGAACTTTGTCGAATCCATTGTGGCCGAAGTGACGATCAACTTGAGATCATGGCGTCTAGCAACAATCTGAAATAGAGAAAACGCGTGAGTTAAGAATTAAGAAATATCTTGGTTGGAAGTTTAAAATTACGCAATTAATTTTATTCATATGCGCCTCTGTGCAATAAAGCACGTACGGTAGGTAGCGCACCAAAAGGTTGACTATAAATAGATATATATAAGAAACTATTTACTTAAAAACTAATTTAATTACTCTTTACTTAAAAACTAATTAATTAACAAAAAAGTAAAAAAACAGTCGTCACCTTTTTATTTTTCCTCTGTTAAATTTTGAATTTTTTTCATTTTTTTTCATTACAAAAGCAAAAAATCTGGAGTTATTAATTAGTTTCTCAGAAACTATCTGGCCTATCGCAAAGTGATGTATATACGGTTTATAGAGACTTTCATTGGATTTCATTTGCCGTACTTCGTATGGCGACTGTTCAATTGGTTCGTAAGATGTATGTACGTGATTAAGTGGAACCACTCTTTTTTTTTAAGCTGAATAACGGAAAATTGCAAATATCTCGTAAACGTATCCATAGAAAGAATAATAATTCGCGCGATTCTACATATGAATTGGATAGTGGCGTCTGGCGAACAAAAACAACTAAAATTTGTGATCCAGTGTAATACTTAACCCCAAAATTGTGGCGGTTTCCTTTGACAGCTTGAGCTTGAGAGCCAGACCAAGAAACATGGTTGGCTAGGTGGGTTCTAAATTATGCAGCGTCTGTGTTGTCGCTGATGAACTGTTAGGGCACAATGAACGAATCTGCAGACCTGCAGAGGATAGCAGGTGCTAGAACTACATATCGTCGTTTAAAGTACAAAACCGCGTACCGTCATTCTGCAAAACCGCGTAACTGACATTGGCTGCCAAATATTGGATTTGCTCACACAAGCTCTTGGCTCAATCCTTATCCAGTCAGAAATGCGGTTGCTTTATAAACAAGAGAACCATTTTGAAATATGAAATAATTTCTACAACTTCTCATACGCGGTTTTGCATTTTGCTGATACGCGGTTTTGCATTTTATTGATACGCGGTTTTGCACTTTAAACGACGATATATTAATCGACTGCGTTGCAAATTCAAGGCACACGTTTTGGGGCACTAACCAATGCGGTGAGTCACTAGTTGAGTTTATTATAAATTTATATTTGCTAACCGAGGGGTACTTAACTTTCATGAAACGTAGAAAAGCATTCGGCGATGAAAATCTTATGTATTCCAACGTATACCCATTAAGTTTAATAACACAGCGGATAAAATTACTCTTTTTGCGAACCATCGCAAAACAAACTGTAATCTATTCGACAAAATTATCTTCGCAGAAAATAATAAAATATCTATTTACGACCCTGAGATTACGCGAGATGATCTTACAAAGCTTGCAGAAGTAAGGTCGAGGGCCAGTACAAGCCAAACTTAAAGAAGTATAAAAAGACCAGCCCGGGCACTAAGGAGGCTTGCTAAAGGAAATTTACAGGCGCGCAAAGAGATTCATAGAGAAACTAAATTTGAAGCCATCCTTTGGCCTGGACCACAGTAGCATTTTCCATGAAGAAAAGTTTACAATTAAGAAGGCGGTAAAGTACATAAAACATCAAACACCCGCGTGAACGCAGTTGAACATTTTCTCATACAGCAGCACGACACTTTTTTCCAAATCCTCGTCCTCAGTTACATAGGTCGGAATTAGTGGCAAACTGTAGCAGAGAGTTGGCCTTAATTTCTGATTACTTCGAAATTAATCTAATATGGGTTCCATGGGAGAAGTGATGTATGCTCAGGAAAATCAACAGAATTACCTAAACCAGGCCATGTTAGCAGCGGGATAGGAATGTATGTACATAAAAACTGACGTCCACGTCTGTCCACACAGGATACTGCCGCAGCTTAAAGAAGCGGAGCTCGTATGAGACAGTTGAAAACTACTCTAACCAACCAACAGACAGACCTGCCAGAACGCTGCCCTAAAAACTGCCACGGGATGTTTTCAGAAGTCGCCTGAACCATTCGTGCGGTGTGACATAAAATCCTGCTAAACTTGATTTTTATTAAAAGGTAACCAGATTCTGTCTGACCGTCTAAATGTCCGTGACGGTCCGAGACGGTATAAGAAAATAATTTGAATTAAATAATATAAAAATAAATAGTCAATATGTGGCGGTTGTATTATTATGAAACGCAGTGTATTGCCCCGGGCCTTTTGTAATAAATTCTTTAAAAGCTAGCAAGAAGGGGGAAAATGTAGAATCCTTTTGAAATGACACGCATTTCGAAGACTTACAGTGGAACCAGCGGCGGACCCAGAATTTGTTCGGTGTGTTTTGTGGGAAATTGTGCCATTTATTCTTATTAATTTAAACGAGTAATTCTTGTATATGAGACATTCTTTTTCATATCGGACACCAAATTGGGTGTCACACTTTCGATTGACTTCAATTTTTTTTTATGGGTTCTATACATGAAATAAGCTAACACGTGTTCGAGGATTTTTATACCCGAGCGCACTTGTGCACAAGGATTTTATTACTTTGTTCACATAATGGCTGTTTGTAACAGGCAAAACGAATCGAGATAGATATAGACAAATGTATACATAAATGATCAGAATGAAAAGAGAAATCGATTAAGCGGTGACTGACGGTCCGTACGTCCGTCCATCCGTTTGTGCACACGATAACGCGAGTAACAATTGAGATATCTGAACGAAACTTGGTACGTGTACTTCTTTTGGGCGTATGACGCATGGTATTGAAAATCGGACAATAACCACGCCTACCTCCCATATAGCGGTAGTTTTCAGTAATACGAAAACTTAAAATCGGGCAATAACTACGCCCACATCCCATATAACGGTAATTTAGAGAAATACAAAATCTTCGCTAAATCAGTAAATACTAAGGCTAATTTATTCAAAATTGATGCTTACAATAATTCTTTACCAAGAAATACGTTTAAGATAATATTGTGATACCCCGCCCACATATGACTGTATAAGTTTATCTCATTATGTCTCACTGAACGTTCTATCGAAGATGTTTAAAATAGGGGTAAAACCACCCCTGCTTACTATGTCGCGGTAGTTTTCGGAAAGATGAAAAACATATATTTAATACTTGCGCCAGGTATTTAATGTTTGGCTCTGCCCGAACCTAGACTTTCTTGCTTGTTTCATCCATATTTTACCCGTTTCAATAGCCACACCTGAACGAATTTGTTCATGCCTGAAAAGGACTAAAACTTACTTGAGAAATGCAACAAGTCAAGAAAAACTCAACGGTCTAGCATCTATGGATATTCACAAAGATATAAACTTTTCAGTTGACGAAGTTCTAGAAGAATTTTTCCAAAAATTAAGAAAAATGTGAAAAATCTTCGTTCGGATCTTTTTCGAAGTTAATGGGGATAAGCTTCACTTTTCTATTGGGGAATATGCTTTGGTCTTCCGGGCTGAGGTAATTGCAATCCTCAAAGCCATGTACTACGTGGTGGAGCATAGGTGGAGGGCAAGGAGTTTACGTGTCTGCAGTGACAACCTAGCTGCAATTAAGGCATTGGCATTGGTCGATCTTCCACTCAGCAGTCGAAATACTCCACGTACAAAGTCATGACTGAGCCGAACATTTGATGTGTTTATGATAATGTAAATAACGCTAGGGCTCGAAGTGCTCTTAAAAAATGTAACTCCTCAAAGCGAGAGAGTATTTTGATGAATTTACGAGCTCTATTTTTTAAAACCTGCAAGTGTGTGATCACATTATTTTAACAAATAGAAATAAAAAAATAATAGAAAGAAAATATTTTAGTTTTATTTTGGCCACTCCGAGTTTAGTTTTTGAATTCACCCGTGATGCAAATTTGCATAAGTAGATCAAATCTTCACATTTAATTTTTTTACGAGCTCTGGGAATATTTAGAAATGTATCAGCAGGGGGTCCACCGGAAATTTTTGAAAGGGGTCTACAAGAAAGAAAAGTTTGGGAACCTCTGTTCTAAACCCTTAATTAGTATTCTTCGATTTGAGGGGGCGTTTAAACACCCTAACCCTAGCATGAATTGTCAAGATTCGAAAACCTTTGCAAACAAGGAAAACGGAATTATTCCTCAAATTCACCATATATGTATGTATGTATATACGAGCCATGAGTCAAAAAAATGCACAAAAATACATTTTTTTTTTAGGGTTTCTCCGCACTCTTACATTTTTCATGCAACTTTTTCTACTTCTTTTGCCCTTAAAGAGTTAATGAAAGTAATGAGAACAAATTTTGCCATACACCAAATGAAATACACCTAGTTTGTGGGAATGTTTGAACTGTGCTCAACTAAACAAAACTACAATCAGCTGTGTTTGAAATTAGGCAAATAACCTTAACAATTTAGATGGGTATTGGGTCAAGGCAACACGTGGATTTCGTAAGTAAGTAAATATCACTCGTATCTACACATTTCTTGGTAACTTTAATTCGTAATAGTGAGATGAGGTAGCATAACAATGTACAGTCCTTTGGATAATCCTTAGCTGTGTGGTGTAAAACCGAATAGCACACCAGCAAAGTCCTCGGGGTAGGTTCATGCAAGTATATTTGTGCAAAGTCCTACCACTTCGAATGCAAAGCAACAATACAAAACTCGGTCGTATTTCTTGGTCGTATTTGACGAAAACATTTCGGGAACTTACTTAAATAAGAAGAAAAAATAATCGAACATTTTTCGCAATTTATTGAGAGTCAGTGGTTTTCATATGGATATATATTCACCATAGGAGGGGGAGCAGGGCGTTGTGGCAGCTGTATGCAAAAATTGGTGCGTGCGCATGGCTAGGCTCACACATCGAGCAAGCTGCTCAAAAAGTATTTAGGCGGCGGTGTGTACAACATGGTACGCTCCAGCGACACATGTTACGAGGCACGTAGGCACGTTGTTTTTGATTGCGGTTTTATGTACAAATTGTATGTATGTATGTAGATATGTTTGTGTTTTCAAGCCTCTTACATATGTACGTATGTACACTAGGATGGATGCAAGGAAGAAAAAA